AGGTATTGCTACGTCTCAATATATACCAGTCAATTCTTATCTGGCTGAGCTTTACTTTATTTTATTCCGTTATTGAATGCTACAGGTAATAGGGCTGCCAAAAGGTGCAAGAAATTCATCCAAAATAAGATTACTGTACGTTATGAAATTGGGGAGCACGAGATGAATATTGCAGTGAACTGTGTACTGAATTAACCAATATTGAGGTCCTGTAACACTAACTGACCACTCAACGTTACGTTCAGCAGTAGTGTCCCGTAATAAGTGGCAACATTGTCACAGCTTGGCGGAACTTATTCAAGTAATAATTCAATGGAAGACATCGTAGATGCGTCGAGAACATGCCCAACTATGCTAAAGAGTCCCAAGGACGGCTTGCCGTGCCTTCCAGGAAAGTCATTTTTTGTACTGGGTGGCACCATACAGGTAGCAGGAGCAGTTTCAATTTCATTGTGCCGAGGAAGCATACTTGACAAAGATGTGGACCAGAAATATCATTGCCATTGTCATTTTTCTCTTCAGTCCTCGGAGTCAGTACTGCAGTCCGCAATTATGTCAATCGGACTATAATAATTCGCTGCCTGGTAATTGCTTTAATCATTAAGATGAGTGAATCAGAGTAGTAAGAAAAATACAAACACCTCGGTGAACCCATGTGCATTCTTTTATACTGATAACAACAAACTGAAGATATTCAGAGTGAAGGCGGTGAGATGATCTTATAATATATTCTCCTTCACCTTCAGATACCATGGCAAAGGAATTTCCAAAAGTTTTTGCTCAAAGCCTAATCAAAGTCACTTATAATGGGCACAAGTATATATAATTACATAGTTCCAATAAGAATTATGCATGAAAGGGTTGAAATTTGCAGCAGCCAGTGAACTGTTTCATTCTGAACTCTGCAATGGTAATGAATTGTTAATAGAATAAAAAATGGACGTTCAGGGGATTGAACCCTGGACCTTATACACACGATAGAATCCGGTTTCCCGGGTCTTGCAAAGCATACGCGCTACCACTGCGCTAAACGCCCATGAATGATGACTTGCTAGCGTGAATTGTTTTCGGGTGGATATTTATTTGCTATGATGACTTAGTCTTCGCATTAATTGTCGATTAATCAAAATTTCAAGACCTTAGCCGCACAATGTAATCTCCAACGTACATACATACCTCTATAGCTACTAGATTGCTGTATTACTTACTGGGTACATCGAACACTCACAATCTATAAAAGCACATTAAACCGCTTGGGGTTCTTAAAGGTGTTTTTACTGGTTATTGGTGTCTGTACGGCATACATCCTGATAGATTTAAACTTCGCTGTAAGGAGAAGTAAAAACCTGTTAGTCAAAATGGACGTTCAGGGGATTGAACCCTGGACCTTATACACACGAGAGGATTTGGCTGCCCAAGACCTTGCAAAGCATACGCGCTACCACTGCGCTAAACGCCCTTGTGAAATTCAAGCTTGTAACACAACTCGTACCTGACAGACTTCTTTTTTTTTTTGTATAGCGTGGAGAAGTAGAGCGGAAAATTGCATTTCTTGTTACACATTTTAGTTGATCTGGAGACAATGTATACCATAATATGTTTTTCTTGAACGTCGATGAGTATTGGAAGAGATGCCTTCGGTGTATATTGGATCGAAAGCATGTAGTAATTTAAAATAGCTGGGCGAATGCAAATTTCGGCTCTTGGGAGTCGAACCCCTACTATATTGCATGTAGCCTGAGTGGTCGTTTGGAACCTACACACACATACCATGTCCGAGCTTGTAGTTCCTTATATTTTGTAGTTTCATGTCAGCTAGGGGTTCGAAAAACACATCCTCAAAAATTCGCTTAAAGGGTCTACTTTCCAGAAGCAGACAGTGCCATGCTATGAACCCAGCGTGAAAGAGTATTTTCCTGCACAAATGCCTTGTGGTACGACAATCCAGTAGGCGCAATATAGGATCTATTACACTTCATATGCTGGCAGCTTCAGAGCCTTCAAGTTATTCAAGAAATGCGTTAATAACTTGCGAGACTTGGCAGGACTCGGAGGCGTCTTAAAGTTTAAACTTTGAGTTAAGAGTCGGATGTCGTCAACAAGAGTTAATTTCCAGTTTCGATAAGCAAATCTTGTGGCTTTTCAGACTATTAGGAAGAAGAGAGACGTGCAGCCAGATGCGCATGAAGTTCGGAAGAGCGCGGCACGAAATGCCCCTTGAATGTCCCAGACTTTGTATGCATGACGCGCGTCGTCACAGCGTGACAACGCGTCTTTCTCCTACCATCGCCGCCTCCGTCCTCAACCTGCACTCCTCTCAATATGGGTATCAAAGGTCTTACCGGGTTACTCTCCCAGCACGCTCCTGCATCAATCAAGGAGCATGAAATAAAAACTCTCTTCGGCCGCAAAGTCGCCATCGACGCCTCCATGTCCATGTACCAGTTCCTCATCGCCGTGCGCCAGAAGGACGGAGAAATGCTCACGAACGAAGCAGGTGAGACGACGAGTCATCTAATGGGCTTCTTCTACCGGACAATAAGGATAGTGGAGAACGGAATCAAACCCTGCTATGTGTTTGATGGAAGGCCACCAGAGTTGAAGAAGGGTGTGGTGCGTGTAGTTTCTGTTCGTTGTCTGAATGAAGGACTCAACGTGTTTTTTTTTGGTGATGTAGCTGTCAAAACGTTTCGAGAAGAGGGAAGAAGCGAAGGAAGAGGGCGAGGAGGCGAAGGAGATTGGAACCGTTGAGGATATGGACCGTTTCTCGCGTCGAACAGTCAAAGTGACGCGTGAACACAACGAGGAGTGCCAGCGACTGCTCAGGCTCATGGGTATTCCTGTTGTGGTGGTACATTCATTTACACTCATTTATCCTTTGCGGCACTTATATGTCTTCTCTCGCAGGCACCGTCAGAAGCAGAAGCCCAATGCGCAGAGCTCGCAAGAGGTGGACTGGTACGTTGGTGGCTCATTTCTCTTGCTTTCTCCTTACTGACTTCGATTTAGGTCTATGCTGCCGGCTCCGAAGATATGGATACCCTCACTTTCAATGCACCCATCCTCTTCCGTCATCTTACCTTCTCTGAAGCCAAGAAACAGCCCATCAGCGAGATCAACCTCGCTACTGCATTGGAAGGACTGGAGATGAACATGAGCATGGTATGTGTCCCCCTCTTTCCCTCTTTGTTCGTCTGTTCTTGTTTGAGGCCTCTCAGCCACTTCCTGATCGATGCTTCTTATACCACAGTGGTTTTGGAGCCATAGAGGGTTAGCTGTCTTCTGGCGTTTTGGCTTAAGAATCGTCTATTTAAACGCATTCCAAATGATCCTTCATATGTTGGAACTCGCCCTATTCTGACATTGCTGGTTATACCCGCCTTTCGCCTCTACAACCTGTCAATATCTGTATACGAGACCTCGTATATGCTCTTCGTCCGTCTGACAAACCTCTCTTCTAGTTTATAGACTTGTGTATTCTCCTTGGATGTGATTATCTCGAACCTATCAAGGGTGTTGGGCCCAAATCTGCATTGAAGCTCATCCGCGAATTCGGCGGACTTAAGGGCGTGGTAGAACATCTACGAGAGAAGTAAGCCGTTTAATCACCATTCTTCTTCTACTTTCTAACCACAAACCACTCTTCACAGAGCAGCAGAAAAGAAAGCCGCTGAACCCTCCGAGTCCGAACATGAATCCGAACACGAGCCAGAGCCCAAATCGGAGGACGAAGACGAGCCCGCCCCAACCTCCGACATGGAAATGCCCGATCCTGCTACGTCCGACGCGCCTATGCCTGATGTAGACGAGGACGGCGAGGAGGAGGCGCCAACGCCGAAGAAGCCCAAGAAGTCCACAGCAAAGAAGGGCAAAGGCAAGGCGAAGGAGGAGGAGAAAGAGAATGGCACTAAGGGAAAGGGGAAGGCGAAGGGAAAAGGGAAGGGTGGGATTCAGATTCCGGAGGATTGGCCATGGGAGGAAGCAAAGAAGTTGTTTGAAAAGCCGGATGTGTTGCCTGCGGATCAAGTTGAGGTGGGTCTCTTTCTTTAGTTCGTTATACGATTGAAGAGGTGCTGAAACAGTTTCAAAGCTCGAGTGGAAGAACCCAGATGTAGACGGGCTGGTACAGTTCTTAGTGACAGAGAAAGGATTCAAGTTCGTCTTCCCCTCCCTCTCTTCCTTTGTAAAACTGCTAACACCCCCTATCAACAGCGAAGACCGCGTACGCAAAGGCGCAGAGAAGCTCCAAAAGTACCTCAACAGCAAGCAGCAGGGCCGGCTCGACGGGTTCTTCACGGTGAAAGCGAAAGAGGCTCCAGCAAAGGGCGGTGCGAAGAGTGCAGGAGGGAAAGGTGCCGCAGCAAAGGGAGGGAAAGGTGCATCTGCGAAGGGTGTTAAGCGCAAGGTACGTATCTCAACCTTTTGCTTATGACAGTAGCTGATGGAGCTTCGGTTTGTAGGGTGATGATAAAGCTGAGACTAGTACTGGGAAGAAAGCGAAGACGAAGAAATAATCGAATTCATATTCTCGCTCGTTAGTGCGGTTGTTGGTGCTCGAGGGTGTACGGTGGACATTCTCGTTCAACCATTGTAGAATTCTATGTCGTCATTTGTCGTTTACCACTCACTTCTTATTTGTATTATATTAACTTAATGCATTCTTGAACATCGCTCTCTTTGGTTTTTACATATTGGATACTACGGAAGGATCGACCATTTACCTAGGCTCATGATTCAAGTTGGTATGCGAATGAGCCTCAGAGGGTATGAGTATCTGTTCTAGACAGGCGCTCTATACATCACAACAGTGTTGGGCGTATGACGGTGTTCGATTCCCGGTTCGCGTCTCAGTTCGTGTCGAGACTTTTTGTCACTTCCAGTTTCAGTTTCTGAGTCTTTCTCAACGCAATGACACCTATTCCAGCTACGTTCATTGATACCTTTGTAGTGGCTACAGCCTCACTCTTGAATCAATTCCTCGCATTATGCACGTGCAGCCCAATCACCATGGTTTTTATTTTATTTAGACGTTTGAGTATTCAGAAATCACACACAAGAATAAGATTCAATGAATTCGCGCCTAAATCCTCTCAAACCAGATACGCTGAATCCACCCAACTCGCGTAGTCACTGCCTACAGCACTCGCAATGGTATAAGAGTTGGCCTGACTGGATGTGAGTAACGTCGCGAAGCTGGGACGCGAGACGCCACTGGCTCCGCTACCAGTAGTGCCGTAATCCGCAAAGAAGACGTTTGACGTGCGCTCATCACCAGTGTTCCAGATCGACCAGAGAGCCTTGTTCAACGGAGCATTGATGACGGTGTTTTTGAAGATCACCCTGCCGAGGAGTTTAGTAGGAGAAGAAGGAAGGAAGTGAGACCGAGACAACTTACTTAGCGAAAGCTATTTGGAGAGAAAGCGGGGCGCTGTTAGAAGAGAAGAACGACCATGGAAGAGAAGAGGAACACGTACCACCCCATGGTCGTCCGAGGTATACATTGCCGTTCACGTTGGATGCACCGGAGGCGGTGACGATAGTATTCTGGTTGAAGACGTCTGAAGAGAACGAGCCTCAGTAAGAGTGGTTTGAAGGCTTCGAAGAGCTTACAGCTTCCACTATCGTTGGATTCACGTCCGCTGGCGGTTATCCAGCCATTAGCCTTCACAGCGATGGTGTTTCCGCCAAAGTATGCGAGGCCCTGACGGCCAAAGATGAAGTCGGTAGCTCCCTGTAGAAGCCGCTGTCAGCATAACGTAGGTGAATATGGTCTTGAATAGCTCACCTCAATATACCCTTTGAGATATACCTGAGTTCCTTGATTGGCGTAGAGGGTATCTTGGTATCCATAGAACCCACACGCGTACAGACCGACGCGACTTCCGTACTGACTGATCGCAATTGCTTGCGAGCCAATACCGAAGGTGTTCTTGACATTCACGTTGTACATCTTGAAGTCGTTTTTGTGGATGCGAAGTGTGCCACTGGCGTCGTTAGAGCCTGCCGTGCTAGCAGGAATACCAGCCTGAATAATCACTTGGTTTTGCGAGTAGGTAGAGGTGTCGGTCGTATACCCAAAGATCTATAAGTGTTTGTAAGTTTAGACGACAGAAGGGAGTATTAGAGAACATACTGTGAGAGGACCAGTGCGAGTGATATAGACTTGTTCGTTGTAAGTTCCGGGATAGATGAATATGACTCTTGAGGAGCTGTCATTGGGCAAAGAAGCGACTGCCGAGGCGACCGTCTTGAACTCTCCGGATGTCGAGGTACCTGCACGTACGATCACTGCGCCTGACGGAGGAGACGTACGCGAGGCTCCAAGAACAGCTTGGAAAGCTGACACGAACAATAATGCAAATGTGAAAAGTGAATAGGCCATCCTATGTTGAAGAGTTAGAGTTTCGTGTCTTGTAGCCCAGTTTTATTCATTCATGGCGGAAATATTACGGCAGGGTG